AATAATTATAACAAACTAGTGGAGTAATTTCACAAAAAATAATTGAATATCAATTCAACAAAAATTTAATTAACACATCATGGATTTTTAAAACAGACAAACATGACGTTAACTATGATAATATTAACGACACCCTCTCAAAGGTAGTTTATTGGTTTAATGCTAACAATTTACTGCTCAATGCCAAGAAGACAAAGTGTGTTAAATTTGAATTACCTAATGTAAAATCGACTAGACCAATGAAACAAATAAATGGAGAAAAGATAGAACTTGTTAATAAAGTTATCACATATCCTTATCCTTAGCCACATGATTACGCTCTGCTGCATACGCAGTTCGTAAAATACGTGAGCTTACCGATGTTGCTACTGCTAGACTAGTTTACTTTAGTTACCTCCATAGTACAATGCCTTACGGCATTTTCATTTGAGGTAAAGCGCCCAGATATACAAACCATATTTGTGTTGCAAAAATAGGCTATTCTTTCTGTGTACCGTTTAGGTTCTCGGGTTTCGCTCAGCGAAAGGTTTACGGAGACTGGTATCATGACTGTGGCATCACAGTACATTTACTCAAATATTTTGTATGCCCATAATAACATACATAATTTAATTAAGAGAGAAGATATCCATAATATTAACCATTGACCTACCAACAAATGGACATCGGGTTTAATACAAAAACCACGAAAAAAATGTCCGAGGTTAACCTATACAAACGTAGTGACATGTAACGAAATATAAAAAACTAAAACATTTAATTTAAATTGTAACGTCATTGCAGTACTCCCTAAATTTGCTTACAACAATTTAAGGGCCCAAAAACACCATATTCAGCTTCTACTGGAAACTTGACAAAATGCACCATATTTAGCTTCGACTGAAAATTACTTGAACACAAGAGTAATGGGTAAACAGCCTTTCTCGTAAATATTAATTAATATTTTTATATATATTATTATGTCGAATTTTGTACAAATTCACTTAAAAGGTATAATAAAGAGTTGGGCATATACATACTCGTACATACAATTATTACTACAAATGTGAAAATAAGCGTGTACATAAGAAATGTACCGACATTCTAACTAAACGTAAACTCAAATATCCGTAATTCCGATTTATAACAAAACTATTACGCTTTCGAGTAATTTTGATGCTTTTTACATAGACAAAATTAGCTTTTGTTTTGTAATCTTCGTAAAAACACATTATGAAAATTCGAGCTAATGTTATTTCGAATTCAAAATTCAAATTCAATGGTCAGACTTTCAGTAAGTTAAGGCTAATGCTAACGTTTAATAAAAAAATCATTTTAAAAATAGGATTAAAATCAAAGCAACTCTACAGTTTCTTTGTTCTAAATATTTCAATCGCTTGTGGTTCGAACAATTGAAAATGACCAAGAAGTTTATATAAACTTCTTGAAACTGACGTAATGGGTCTCTTTCCATCTTTTGCGCATGCAATGAATAGAAAAAGGACAGTTAGCTATTTCATTATTTCGTGTGCTTTTGTAATTTATATTTACGATTCAGTTATATATAAATTAAATACTATAAAACTGTACAAAATAACACTTTTAAATGACAACTATGATAACACAATATATTTGTTTAGTGAAAATATGATACAAAATCCTGGTTTCACACTTTACTGCAGTAATTTTTACAAGTTATTATTTGTACTGCATATATTGATACTGCATGATTGACAACCGCGCTGTCACTCGAACAAACGAAGACTATTGCGCGATTGACGCTCTGTATGCGATTTTAACGCCCTACAGGTGCGGACACTTTTTAGCGCGAACCCGACGTCCATTTATTGGTAGGTCAATGATATTAACCTTAGAACTAAGTCCAAACTCATGGTATCACAATTCGTTTAACTATCGTAAACGATTCTTTTGTGGAGAACTGTATACGTTTTTACAATAAGATTCCGCAGCATACATTAAGATTATCATTTTCTGAGTTCAAAACTTACATTAAAAGTATTTTAATTGAAAGTCATATTACAAAATGGAAGATCATCTGTTAGATAAAGATATATGGAAAGACAACATGAGGCTAGATTCCACATAATTATGATTCAAAGTGTATTCCATAGCATTTAAGTTTATTTTATTAGCAATCCCTAGAGTTTCTTGCTCTTCTTCTCAGGGGGGTCAGCGTAGTGAACAAACAGTAGCTTAAAAAATGACGTTTTCAAGTGTAAACATTTTACCTATGGAATAAATGATTATTTGACTTTGTCTTGACTCATAATAAGTTTTACATTTCTAGCATAAGAAACCAAAATACTTCACATTTTTAATTGGAAATTATACCTCCCGGTATTATATTTTCCAGGCAAGCACATTTCGAATAACACTTCAGTACAGTTACAAAATGCTCTCATAGGCAATTTTGTTTCGTCGAGAGGTAACTTGATGAAACATCGTTATTACAAGTCTAAGTGTTTTTGAATAAACTTCAACTTAGTTAAGAGGTTCTGAAGTATCTTCAAGTATACTTGCTTTTAGAACGGTATTAATGTAAATATAAGTAAAAAAAAAGTTCGACCACCTATAACAAGGAGGTACTGTAGCCCTTCTTCAAATATGGTGGTACTGTAGTCCTAGTCCTTTTTCAAATGAGGTGGTACTGTAATCCTTCAAACAAGATGGTGCTGTAGTCCTTCTTCAAACGAGGTGGTGCAAACTGTAGTGCTTCTCCTTATTTAGCACTATTAGAGAGTCACAGAATATGTATTTGAATTGAATGTGTCATTAACTTTTTCACTACCTATCTTACATAATAAGAAGTATTATTATTTTCAATATAATACATACAGTTATTTTTTACTTACAGTTATAAAACTTTTCTTATAAAAAACACAACCCTAATAATCGCTAGGTTATATAGGTGTAATACGATAATTAGGTGATTTCACAGGTAATATCCACTCTACGTGTATTACTTCCTTGAAGTTTAGATAAAAACTGAAAGGCTTTATAATATTGTCTGCGACTATTTCAATACTTTTTGTAATAATTCTGTACAAATGGACTTTTACTTTATGAAAGCAAACACAGAATGAGAAATAGTGCGTTAAAGATGATGGTAGCTTTTTGACACTCGCGAGATGATAACCCATATTCTCCTTTTAATTATTTACCGGAAGCGAAACGTGAATTGTCAGGATTAAACGATGTGTATTTAAGTTTTTGTACTTTCACAACCATACCTATGGTAATTGTACTTTTTAACATTTACAGTGCCCGCGTGCGTAAGCAGAGGCGTAGTGCAAAGTATGTTCCCTCTGCATGACAGAAACGCCTTGGAAAGCCTCCGAAAAAAATGGGTTAAAACGCTTTTTAATCCGCAACCTTTAGGTAAGTGTCGTAAAATAACATAATCAATAATAGACAACATTTTCATGTAAACTTTGAATCATTCAAACGTAATGAATGCCTTCAAAAACTTTTTCAATTACGTAGGCATACACGCAACATTGCTTTAGTTCACGGTCACTGTATTGAGTGGGAAGCAAAATTGTATTATGATTTTTTATACAGTGTGTATGAGCATGAAATCGACAGTGTCATTTTCGCTTCTTAAATGTTTGACCGTTTTTCAAAATTCGGGAAAGACAAGGTCCTTTATAAATCAACAGTCAGGCTACATCATATCGCTGTAAATTTTAATAGACTGTCAAATATTCTTTTAACACACACACTCATACCATTAAAGAAACCTTGTGTCGTGGGTGTCATACATAGGGGATCAAATTACACCTAAACTCACGAGGGTAAAAAATATAGACCATATTCTCCCGGCCCGGGAATGGAACCCGGGGCCTGTACCTCGGCATACCAGCTCGTTAACCTTTCGGCCATCGAGGCAGTTGAGTTTTATCAACTTTTCAATCAATCGGAAACCAAAAGCTACATTTTTATTTCAATAATGGAATCGATACTTGAACTTGTAGTTTTACATTCGAAACAAAGTATCCGAAGGCTTTTCAGTAATTTATTATTGTACGATTGAATAGCAATCATTGTCTCATTTGCAGATGAAATAAGTGATTACTTCGGTGTTAAGATAGCAATGTACTTCGCGTGGCTCGGGCACTACACCCGGTCGTTAGCCGTGCCCGCCGCAGTTGGTTTCGTGTTTTGGGTAAGAATATTTTACGAACTGTATATGTCAGAATTGCTACATCGGGAATAATGTATTTTTATTCGCTGACGATTATAGTGTAATAGTTTATCGACCTCAGTGGCCTTTAAGCACCGTAGTCGTAGGATATGAAAGTTTTCAAAAACAATTCACAACGAACTTTTCCAAAAATGGTTCTTGTCTTTGTGTTCTGAATAATATCCCTGGGGTCAATTGTGTGACTCTTCTATGTACTCTAGTAATAAATGTAATAGTCTGGAAAAAATGTATTGGCTGAACGTGCTGGGTAATAATAGTCAAAAGGCGCGGAAAGTATTAATTACTAATAAATTTTTATTTCTTGATGTTTAATTTCAGATTTGGCTGGGCACAGCGAATGACAATTGGAAGGACGTAGCCTACGTTTTGTTCTCTCTATTCAATGTTTTGTGGGCGTGTGTTTATTTGGAGACTTGGAAACGGTACGCAATAAAAACACTTCTTTTCATATTCTAATATAAAATTTCTACTTATAAGTTTTGTACGCCATCTGCATCGCGATTGTATAATAGCGACACACTTACCCAGCTATTAACACTTGATGAGGAGGCTCTAGTGAGACCAACTTGGGAAGCGACCATTTCCAAATTAGTTTTGTGGTTAGTTATTTTACGAAGTTCCCTAGTTTGAGACCATGTAATTGGTTGCCTCTTAAATTAGAGGTTGACGAAAAGGTTGTTCGAATCCCTAGGCGGCATGTACCTATAACTTTTTCAAGCCTGTGAAAGTTTAGTAGCAATGCCTTTTCGCTAATGATTCTAATATATAATAGAATAATTATTATACACAGAATAAATTATACAATAGATTAAATTTTCGTCTTTCGATAATGAAAAATATGATAATTTTTCACTATTCTTACTTTTGCACCCATCCACTGAATAATAATGACGCGATTTCGACATTGCAACGATTTTTTTACAAAACGTGCCGTACGACCGTTCAGATGTGCGAGCGACACTCTCAGAGCGCTTGCGCCGACGTCGGCGCACTCAGAGGTAGGCACTTATCCCGTAACCTTGAGCGAGTGACGGAGCTCTAGTTGCACCAACTACATTCAAATTCTTTTGAAATTCCGAGTCGAACGGCTGATTTTGTTACTATGCACCGAGAGGCGCTAGTTCCGTTTGTCATATTCATACATATAATTTGAGCTTCTTCCTACCAGTGATTGTCGATCGCCGTTATTGTACTAAAAAATCTTGACATTCTGCACAAAATTGTGTAGTTACCTTTAGTCGTGTTTCAGATATTCGAATGTCTTGGCCTATAAATGGGGAACGCTGGACCAAAGAGATGAATTGTTAGTTGAACCGAGGCCGCTGTTTCAAGTAAGTAAAAGTAAACACTTTTCTAATGTTAACTGTTTTAATGAAAATACCTAACATTATACAGAGGTTTCAGCACAGAACAAGTTTTATTGATCGAATAAATTCATCATTACAACGTTTTAAACTAATGGGTACTCTTATAAACTTAAAAAATACGAGAGCGCGTGGGCCATTTAGATAGAGACAGTTCCATTTAATAAACAGTCGCATTATCTTTACTTTCTGTAATCAAAAGCTCAACGTCCTTCTACCATATAAACAGGACACTTTCTGTCCTCCTCATTATATTCACGCAAAAAAATGTTTTGAATCTAATTCAAAAATCTTTTTCTAGAAAACATAAATATAAATTTCGTACTAATAAAGTATTACTCCAAAAAATTCAAAATTTCGTTCCACGTAAAAAACACAAGTTTATTTGTTTTCATCGTTTTTGTCGTACATTTGTTTGAAAATAACTGCATGAGGTGTGGAGTTATTGAAAGTTTTACTCTTTATTTGTTGTTTTGATAATACACGTGTATTCGGTGGGACTTCGCTTTACTTTCTTCAAAAAAAAGGGTATTGAGGTTCATGTTAAGCGGAACGATCTGAAAACCGTCCATGATGAATTTGACTGGTAAGGACGACGTGATGATTTCAGGGTGAGATGGGCACGAGCGCAGTGACCGGCCGCCCGGAGCCGCAGTACCCGGCGTGGAAGCGCCGGCTGTGGCGCCACGCCGTGTCCTTCCCCATCATCGTCGCCTGTCTGCTGCTGGCGGCGGGGGCCACCTTCGCATTACTCCGAGCACAGGTCACTTGCAAACCTTGTACCTTACTTAGCGGCGAGGACAGACTGAAATCAAGTGCCATAGATGGCGTATGCTGACTTCCTATGTCTTCTACATTCTGATTCGCTCTCACACCGTGTGACCTGCACCTTTGAATATTTTCGATCAATCATTTAATTATGTGTAGTTTAGTTTACTAAATTATCACTTGATTTAAAGGTTGTGGTGAAATCTACACATTGAGGAATGTTCACATAACTCTTTGTGAAGTCCCCGACACTCTCCTTAGAGTATACGCGTGTCGGTGTAACCCGTCTAATTATTGCAGTGTTAGTCCAAATGTCGTCTTTCAACTTATTATTTTAGGGATCTTTGTTACCCTGTTGTTTTACATTGACAAGTAAACGAAGATTTACAAGATTTTTAAGAGGTGACCTTTTCATAGTGACATTTTCATCTATTTGCTGTGGACAAGCAACGATGGACAGCTATGAAACTTTTAAAACAAATAACGTGTTTGGTAAAAGAACTAAGGACTATTTAATTCCAACATTGTTTAACTGTGTTCCGTCACACTTAAAATAATTATAATTTTTTGATACTTTATATTCATGACCTGAATATTCTTGTATTTGAAAAAGCAACTATATTACTAACAAAATGAACAACAACTTTTGTTACGCGACTTTTTAATACACACAACAATGACAAAACATAATAAATTTACCAAAAATAAACCTTTTCGATTTTTGTCCTACTATCTGAATCTCTTAGTTCTGTATTTGGTAGCAAGGTAGTGCCATTGTGCAGGCGTCCTCCTCAACCACCTCCACGCCCCGTCCTGGGTTTTGCATCGGACTGATGATGACGCTAGCGCATTCTTTTATCACCGAACAGAATTATCACCGTTTAGAGTGATCTATTTAAATATTTTTATTTTTGTACGAAAGTAAAATCTGAATTATTAAAAGTCAAGGAATAAAATTATTGTTTATTCCTACCAGGTTGTTAGTACTTTACAAGTATATGTTTTTTGTATCACCGTTGTGGATAGGCGTGCCGCTTACCATCAGGCGTATGACTTGTTCGTCCCTTCACTTGATATCGTAAACAAGGCAAGAGTTTTCTCAACTGCTTTGTTGTTTCTATACTTTGCTCTTAGTAAATTAGATCTGTTATATTGTCACTAGGACTGGTGGGAAACCCATATAGTGTACATGACGTGGATCCCGCGCGCCATACTCGCCATTATAATCGCCATCGAGGAAGAGGTGTACGCAAGGATCGCAAGGTGGCTCAATGATAAAGGTGCGTGCTGTATTTACGTGTGTGGTTTACTGTTATCTATGGAAGATAGGCCTGTGGTTGTTTGTATTGATGTGAAATATACTGTCATGTAAGAATTTTTTTGCAAGGCAAATTTCCACATAAATTAAAAATAAATATCTATATCGTGGACAAAACAAATTGATGCAAATAACTACAAGTTTAGAAAAGACGTTCTTGTTTTGGTATGTCAGCGTTAAAATTATCAAGCCGTTAAAACCAAACAAACATACATTGAAGAAAAAATTTACTTTCCTCCATGAGTTTAAGGTGCAATTTTGATTGAAAGTTAGTTTGTCATAAACAATAGAAAATGATCTTATTGAAATAATGTTGTTTTTCTAATGTTCAGATTATTTTAAGGCACAAATCATTTTCACGCTGACTGAACTTACATAATAGATGCCATGACGCAGGGCCCTCCGGTTTTATATATTTATAATCAATCAAAATGAAATTAGTTTATTTTAAATTGCTTTACAAAGTCGCGATTCTAAAGTCCTATAATGGACCAATCCTAATACCAAAGCGGAGTGGAGAAGGGCTTTGTTTCTGCAACCAAAAGTGATTAATTATTTTCACTAAGTGTCCTGGAGAGGTGGAACTACTATTAACACAATTCTTCCCTGTTCTGTTTAGATACGATAAAAATAGCAGAATAAAATCTTACCCAGAATAACGCGCGCGCAATTTTCTTTAAACAACAAAGAACAGTAGAGTTCCTTGTGAATGAGTTCGTTCAGGAAAGTATTGCCACCTTACCTATTTCTGTCGCCAAGCAGTAATTTGCGTTCTGGTTTGGAAAGGTAAGGGTGCTGATGTAATTACAGGCACATGCGGTGACTAGCGTAGTGGCAGTGACCCTAAAGATCTTTGCAATTTAAAGCTCTTGAGTGGCACTGAAACTGTTATGGATAGACGTGTCGCTTACCGCCAAGTGCACGACATGTGACACGACACGACACTTGGTGTTATAAAAAATACAAATATTTTGACGTATAACGACAATATAACCGCTTTCCATTGGTTAATTCGGAGCTGAAAGAACAATGATAATGATATGTTATTTTTGTCCTCTCCCGTACCCCGCAGACAATGATAGAGCGACCATTGATCAGAGTTTCAGTAATCAAAATAATTTGCGCGAGCTTTAAAAACACACTCATTAACGTTTATTAGAAATTCAAGCTATTTTCGAGCGTAGGAATAAGGCTAACCTGGCTTTTCGTAATGTCCTCTATTCTGACAAGTTTATACAGAATGTCTCATACATGACGTGTGTAAATTTAATTGGTGTGAATTTTGTTTTATCGACAAATTAACTTGTTGAGGGTGAAATAAAAAGGTCCACGACAAATTTCAACTAGTGATCATACTTATTATGATAACAAACGAAATAAGGAAAACATTATTTTAGATTTACGACAAACAAATTTCGTTCCCCAAATAAAGTTTCTATTCTAGTATTTTTTTACTCATTTTATTTGTTATCACTAGTATAATCACCACCTAAAATAAGGTCATACCGTTTTATTTCACCCTGTATATTTTGCATGACAATAGTTTGAAATAATTTAAACTATACCTATCTTGTTTTAGACTGAATTCTACTAGCACAAACTGTCTCTCCCTTCTAGATTGTTTACAAATAAAAATTATATCAATAAATAGATAAAAGTAAAATAAAATAAATAGAATTGTCAGTGTCAATTCTGCCTTGCCTTTTAGTAGTGTCAATTCTGGTATGCGTTTTAGCAAAATTACTCTTAAAAGAATAATCATAGGTAATATTATTATATTAATATTATATAAGACACCCTTTTACAAACTGTTTTGGGAATAGCCAATATCTGCTAGAAACGACTTTGTGCCATCTTTCAAATGTCTATAGTTAAAATAGACTTCAAATGTTACTAGTGCTTGTGTATGTGTATTGAGGCCTCAAAAAATACAATTTCCCTATTTGCGTGAAGAATGAAATAGGTTATCCTTATAGATTTTAAAAGTTTAGTGATTATTTACCGCGAATTACGCGAAATCCGTCACCACGAATCGTGAAACCACCTTAAAATATCGGGAGAAAGTAGGAATTAATAATATTTTTTTAGATTTTCCTAATAGAGGCTGAAGTGGAGGTCAAAAATTTTTAAACAGAGATCTAAAATTTAACTATTTCTTCTTTGACCCCTTCATTAGAATTTAGGGTTTTCACACGAGCTGTATATCGACTGCATTGCATCTGGAAAATTACAGTTGGTATGAAGTTGGCATTAGTTCGTACCTGGCACAATTTAGTTTTGACAATGTTCACGACAGAATTGACACCCAGTTATAAATTAGGTTTAACCCGTAGTTAATACAAATTAATAATGTAGTCAAGAATAGTCAGAGATACTATAGTGCATTTTTCTCTTTACTGCTTACCAAAACGGATTATGGACTCCAAAAAAAACCAACATTTTTCTTAAAATGGTAACACTGTCAAACTTGGTTCAACAGAAAACTACAGACTCGAGACAAAATATGAGAATCACCTGATTGTGAAAATAGCATTGGTTTGTATTTAAAAAAACGCCCTAAAACTAAACGCCAACGCTAAGCTACACGCTTTGCTTACTACCATAGATAACCTAGAGTTAACAGAATCGGGTTATTAATATGTGTATATTTTATATGACGACAAATATTTTGACTTTATTTTGATGGAATACATTGATACAGTGAACAAGCTCAGTCGTTCCATGAGTAAAGAACGTAGAATGAAAATTTAAAACTTTCTATTGGTTATTTGAAGGAAGACCACGCTCACGATTGGTTATTTGCGTTCTCTTAAACATTATAGTCTACTATATGGTATGTGATAATTTGTCTGATTTTCTGAAGTCAAAATATTTGCCGCGAGATACACCACTTCCAATAGAAATTAAATTCTCGGGCTTGCATGCTAAAAATGCTCTTAACACAAACGTTATACACTTTTCTTTCAAACGCTTCCACACACAACCATCAATAAAATCACAGGCAACTGATAACTATTATCCAAAAAGTTCAACATCACTATATTTTCCACCACTATCCCAAACTTCATTTGATATTTTTAATTTATGAAGATGCTGCAAAATTTGATTTTAGCGGTTATTGATATATACCAATCCATTCAGTCAATAAAAGCCATCTGTAGATTTAAATTATTGTTTTAAGTAAACATAGTTTAAAAGAAATCTTTATATCCTAAATCGAATTGGTTTTTCAATATGTTTCCTAAACACTAGTGGCACCATCGATACTGTACCTTATTCCAATATTAAAATTTGCAGCTTTTTCACTTAGCAATTCATCTCTTTATTACTTATTTATTTTATAGCCAAGCTTTACATAGTGTTTATTAAACATCTTGCCCAGACAGATATACAATACATTGTAAATGTTGATCCTCTATTTCAGTTTCAATTCGTCAACTCGTTCATGAGTTTGTTCTACATTGCTTTCTATCTTCAGGATATGGATAAGTTAAAAGAGGTAAGTCTTAATTTGCGTTAAATTAATTGCATTGAAACTATTTAACAGCAAAACAACACCTATCATGCCCTTTCGATGTAAAATTTTTCTATGTATTATGTGCATAACTGCCTCAGTGGCCGTACAGTTACCATGCACGCAGAGGTCCCAGGTTTTATTCCCGGGCCGGGGGAAGTATTTATACGGCCTACATATTTATTTCTCCCGTGAGTGAGTGTAATTTGTAATTGTCTATGTGTGTGCCCATGGCACTCACGATACAGGGTTTCCCTAGTTCGGGCCTATGAGTGCGTGCATTATGCGTTATTATACATATTTTCAAGTCTTATCATATGGTCAGATTAACATTTTTTATTTCAGCAATTGGCTGTGTTACTAATAACGAGGCAGATAATAGGCAATCTGAAGGAGTCTGCGTTGCCTTACCTAATCGAGAACCTCAGATTGGCGAAAATATGTGTTGAAGTCTTCGGTGCCTTGAGTCCTAGTAAAAGTAAGTAATATAATATATAATATTTATATTTTACCAAAGAACATTCAGAAACTTATTTAATAATAATACCATTGATATGAAAGCCGGTATTTTTTTTTGTCTTATCACGAAATGGGTATGTCCATACTAAGAAAACTTTCAAACTTTGGGTAAGTTAACTCCCTCAATTCCGATCACTGTTGATGACTTTACCATCTCAGTTAGTGAGATGATAAAGTCATCAACCAGTTATGATGAGACCTGTAATGGGCCTGAAACGTTGGTTTGCTTGGCGATTTTTTCAAAGGTGCCCATAAAAACGAACCTTTACTTTGGAGACTGAAATCACAAAAATAAATGTCTTTAGAGGTCACCTTTAATAGCGAACAAATCACATTTACAATTACATCTATATAATGATCTCAGTCAGTCACATAGTCAGCTATAACCTTGGACTTATAATGCGCCCAACGCGTTGGTTTGTGAAAAACAAATCGACGGTGGGTAGGTAAAACGTCTACCGTGCATTTGGAGAATATGACAGGAGAGCTATTTAAAGTTTTTTTTTAAGAAAAAACAACCATTTAACAAATAAAATCATTACTCTATGATTTATTTTTTTCTTAAAACTATCTTATTTACTTACTTAACTTTATACGCGAGTTAGATCTGACAAAAAATAGTTTCATTTCCTACGTGTAACAATCGCGAAAACCTAAGAACTCGAAATTTCTATGGTATATAACCGCTATTTGACGCCACTAGTAGTGCTATATGATGTTCTCCCAGCGGCTAGCACTGTGGGCGCGAGCTAAGGAAGTACAACCAATTTCGAAAACTAGTTCTTTAAATTGATTGTGGTCTGTGTGTTCCGCGTAGTAAATTTAGTTGCTTGTACTTCTAGTACAGGGAATTCCTTAGTTTGAGCGCTAGTATATTTATAGAGCTCCTCGTGAAAGAGTTCGTCCAGGGAAGTACTGCCACCTTACCTATTTCTGCCGCCAAGCAATAATCTGAGGATTACTGCGTTACGGTTAAGTGAAGGGTAATGGTGCTGGTGAAATTACAGGCACATGGGACTCGTCAAAGTTGAAGTAGACATAAGTATGTCTCAGGGTGACGGGCGCAGTGGCAGTGCCCCTAAGATCTTTGCGATTTAAAACTCCGAGTGGCACTACAACGTTATGGATACGCGAGTCGTTTACCACCAGTCGCACGACTTGCTCGTCCCGTCACTTGGTACTATTAAAAATAAATTGATGTTGTTGACATCAAATTGTAATTTTATTATTTGAAGTGTAAAAAAAAGATAAGACAAATATTTTTGTTTCACATATTTTTTGCCTTCGTAGCTTAATGGTTTTTTGACCTACCGCCTCTCAAGCAGAAGGTTGTGGGTTTGAATCCGTCTTGCACATCTGAGTTTTTCGGTGAAGGAAAACATCGTGAGGAAACCTGTGGACATCAGCAAAGCAATTTAATGATGTCTGTGATGATGACGTTCCCAATCCTCATTGGGCCCTCGTGGGAACTACAGCCCAAGCTCCCTCATTGGGAATGGAGGCCAGTGCCCAGCACTCGGTGTATACAGGGTGGTTTTTTATCACTAGCCAAATTTTAATATTATGATCGTTGATGAAAAAATATAACATACGTGTTTTTTAATTCTAGTATCACCCTGTACCAAAGTGTTGAGATATCACCTCACAAACTTATCCAAAAAACGGCCACGATTTACGATTACACTATACGGGCAACACTCCCCGGCCGATGCAACTATATTATTATCATTCACCCGCGCCTCATCTCCGCTCATCGCCCGCCCGCCACTCGCTATCGTACTCAAGGTCAGTGCGGCGGCACTTGTCATAACATCTACAGTTCTTTAAAAAAAGAAATACATAAATAACATCTGCATTACGTATTTGTTTTTCACGACCTAAGAAAGAAATTAAAATAGCCCATTCGATTTATTTTGATTTCTATACCACAGCAATTAGAACTTATTTTTGACCCTTGAGATACGTGAGACAAAACTATAATTTGACGACCGCCGATTCGGTCCGGATTCTTTTCTCGATAATTGGTGTGGTTATAATATCTAGCCTACGTCCATGTCGCGCTTCCGTCGAATTCGAAAAGGTTTTTGTTCCTCCTTCCATAACATTTTCGTATTCAGCGCCATTCATCTAATAACCTATGATGCCTTTGACCTGAGTTGACCCCTAGCTTCAGCTGACTGATTTCTTGTTTTAATTTCGTGTAATTAGTAAGCGTCCAGCACCGCCCGCCATCGCATACCGTTGTTGATAAGAAGCGTGAGTTGCAAATTTTTCCTTCATACTTTCACGAGTCACTTCACCATTTCGTAGTATTCGCGGTTTGAGTACATACATTGAACACGTGAGACGGAGGTAACAGGGAGAAGACGCGCGAGCGTGACGTCTGTTCGAGACGACTGTGCGCTAGTGATTGAAAATGAATGCGGTTATTCCATTCATTCGCCTGACTAGCGTGTTGTATTGACTAGATAACCAAACATTATCGATTATTATTTTGGAAAAATCATTTTAATGTGAAAATTTGACGTATCATTTTTTTTTTTCAAAAATGGAGTCTGAATGATACCTAATACGTAGAAAAAATTTGACTTTTCATAAAAAAGTCACCCTGTATATAGGCAAACTATTAGTTTTATTTGATAAAATTAAAAAATATGTGTATTTCACTTATTACTTCTAGATATATACCAAAGCATAACCATATTTATAAAAATTTAAATTATAATTAAGTACATAGATAAAAACCCAAGCATCTAAAATACCAGCACATTTTACCAATTGTTTAGTACCTACATCGGCTCAAATAACGGAGCTATTCGAGAAGAAGACGGACTCATCAAGTGAACCTCCTGATACGAATCTCATCAATGGAGGATCAGACAGTGAGAGACGTGATTCGGACAGCGTCGCGCCCAAGGTTATACATCAAGCTGAATTGGAGTCTCAGTTGTTCAAGGTCAGTACTTATGTGCTTGCTAGAATATCGTCCTTTATCTGACTGTCAGAACTAGTGTAGGGCAATTAAGAAATGTTTCAATATTTCAGTTTACTCCGCAATTAAACGTCAGCGATTATTTTGTAAATAAAGTTATTTATCAAGCGCGCAGCGTCTTCACGAGTATCGTTCCATTCCTTCATCACTCATAACTAACCATCGAGAATATAACTAGAAATAGAGACAAAACAAGGGCCTAGGGAAGGTTGGGCCACCCATCCCTGGCAACTCATCAGGCAAATGGGCCTTATATCACTTTTAAATATCAACTCTCGTTTGCGCTGAAATCACAAATTAGAAAGCTGAAATAGTACAGTGCCTGTTGGCACTGACAGCTTGACCTGTGTGTACGTCTCCGTATATTCCAAAAATATTCTGTATTTGTTGTAATAAAGATAATATATCTAACAATGGGGAGCCGTTCCATTCCGTTTCGATTTGAAGTGAAGTGATTGACGGGTGTCGTCAATTGTTTCGAATTCGGGCTGGCCAATCGGAGCGCAGTTGTCATCGTAATGATTTGGCAGAATAGTTTTGAAACAAATTAAATAACATTTCGTCTCTATTTCTGGTTATATACTCGATGTAACTAACTAACCAAATTGTCTTTAAAGAGCATGTCACGAAAGTTTTTTTTTACAATCTCAAGATGACTGCATAATATTGCAGTGGGTGCTTATATACTGTTTTATTACAAATATGTTTATTGTATACAGGGTTATTTGTAAAATACTAACAACCTCCCCGAACTTTATTACTAACATCATAAACAAGAACTTTTGTTCTATGACTTTCACAAAACATAATTATTAATTTTCCAAAAATAAACTTTTAAGTTTTTGTTGTACTATCTGACACTTATTCGGTCTACCTTTGAAATTCCTTATAAACCTCGTTGTGGTGTCTAATATCTAGTTGCTTTTGTTAAGTGTGGCCCCAACTTATTTTTTTTTCTGTTTGACCCAATGATTGACTGATACACAAAGCCTTATGGCATTTAGGCCGACATTTGTACTAAGTTGCATTGTGCAAAAAAAAATAAAAAATAAGTAACCGCGAGAGTTACTCTAGCATCAGGCACAATTTTCAACATATTTTCAGTATAGCCCTTCTTATTTTGATCTGTATCTCGTGTGAAACTCGTTTTGGTAAGTCATATTCATACATTTCAAAAGTATACATAACATTTAGCTTTTGAAAGCGAAGTCACTCTCATAATAGAGTTCAGTATCTCCAACTTTTGACAGATGTCAAATCTAGAAAAATATTGAAAAAATTTGGGAATAACATTTATTCTCCTGAAAAGTATGATTTTTTTCAAAATACACTACACAAACAATGCTAACTGTCACGTATATCTATATTTTTAAACTTTCGCGTTGCTTTGTACTAACATTTGGAACCGTCGGGAAACTAGGTGGGTGTGAAAAATACCTATTCGTATGTGAACGCGTTTATTCCCGTTTCCAAATGTTTGTCAAGTATATCATCATTCCTCTGTTCAAAAATATCTTATTTAATTTTAATATTTTAGATAACTGAATGTGAAATATTAAATTGTTTAGTATAATCGAAAGACGTTGGTATAAAATAGTGTTATTAATTTATTTTTTGAACTGTTCCAGTACGAAGGCACCTTCTCCGAGTACCTCGAAATGTTAACCCAACTGGGTCACGTGGTACTTTTCTCGTCCGCGTTCCCGCTAGCGGCCGTATGTGCCATGCTGAATAACATGGCAGAAGTGAGGGCTGATGCATTCAAATTGTGCCACGTCGCTCAACGCCCGTTTGGCGAACGAGTCGCTAACATTGGCAGTTGGCAGGTGAGTTCAATTCCAATGTAACAAAATGTGAAAACTTTTTCACTAAATTAATGGGGCTTGTGACCATTCCTTAATGTTGGAATAGTAAGTAAAAGTCATTGTGACTAGTAATAATAATTTTTTGTTCATAATAATTGTATGCCATTGAAATATTGTACAAATGTTCATGCTCTGAGATTGACGTCGGGAGTGTCACAGCTTAGTATCACATTCTATCTGCGATATAGAAGAACACACTAGAGAGGATACCGCGGTGAGAGGCGCCGGTAGGCAATGGAATTCACCGGTTATATGCCGGAGACCAACTTCGTTTTCTTTTCGTGCCGATGGCCTGCACTGTAATTTTTATTTATTTATTTATTTCATCAAGACAATTATGATCCAATTAATGTTAGTAGGTACAGCCTTAAAACTATGTTACTACTTAAATTCTTTAAGAGAATTTGTAGTCTGTATTTATTTTACGGATGACAGCCATGAAACTGTCCGCTCGCGCATTCGTAAACATGGCTGAGGCACTGCAGAAACGTGACTACCCCAACAGCATCTTAAAGGCATTGTTGTATTGCACGCGCAGAGCATCCAGTGAGCGCTGAGTGTAGCTCGTCCACAGGGCGCCAGCGTACAGAAATGTGCAGTACGCTCTAAAGAGCGCTGTCTTCACTCTCTTCAAAACGCGGTTAAGTGACAAAATATTTTTTTGAGACGTCATAAAAAACCATAACTCAGTTTTAGAATATTGAAATTGTTTAAGGATATTTCAGCTAGGCATCGTTAGGGTAAGTTCCGGTAAGTCGAACACGATAACTAATTCTAACTGTTTTTTAAAAAGAATTTTGTGCTCTATAGTTTTCTATTTAAAATGGATATTTGACCATTTGTCACTTGCCGCGTTTTTGTTAGTGGACGGCAAAGCAGTACATCTAACGAGCCTGCGGGCGAGTTTTTTACAGGGAGTGCCTTAGTTTGAGACCAGATAATTAGCGTGGTAGTCTAGTCCATTATTATTATTTATTGGTGTTATCCACAGCACGCGATGGAAGCTATGGTCGCTGTAGCGGTACTAGTCAATTGCGCGTTGATTGGTTTGTCTGGACCCGTACATCGATTGCTGCCTGATGCCACACCGGCTCAAATATTGCTGGTCATCGTTGCTTTAGAGGTGAACAATATATTTTTATTCCTTAAATAACTGTTACACAAGATACATTGTCTTATCACAGATACTAAGAAAAAATAAAACATAATGATTGCCGCCATGAGTTACGAGCTCCATAAACCTAGCACGGTTTTATTCACTGCGCTTCCATTCATATAATATGGAAACTAAAGCACCGCAATTAGTGTGTGTCGCTCTTATACTTTTTACGCTTTTCTACGCTTTTACAGAACATGGTTTTTTTTTTCTTGTGGAACAATCTGATCTTAAGATATTGATTTTAATATTTATTTAATGAGTATCATGATGGTTTTACTATTACACTATTAATATATTTTTTGTGGAAATACTCCACTGCTTTGTTATTATTATTGATATAAAAGATCGAACAAACACAAAGAAAAATTCATCCGACTAGACTTGAACAAGCGTCTTCACCAAACTGGGGCTATCGCTCTTACCCACTGAGCTACAGATTAAGTCATCAGATCTTATGAATTTCTCTATGTACTTGTTGCAGATCTTTGTAACTGGTTTTAAACGCCTTTTTTTTGTAGCAGTGTGAGAAATTTCATCGTTCTAAAATTATTATTTTAACGGACTTCAAAAAAAAGGAGGAGGTTCTCTATTCGATTTAATTTCTTTTTGAATGAATGAATGAATTAATGAAATATTCTTTATTGATCATAAAATTACAATTAAAATACAATACAATAGCTTAAGTATAATAGTAGTAGCAAGTTAATGTGCAACAGACGGCCTTATTGCTATGAAGCAATTTCCTCCACGTAACCTTAGGATAGATATTTCGTATATGCAAAAGGGGTGCAACCAAAGAACTTTTTGTATGTTACACGATTACTCCGGCATTTGTGAACCGATTTTGATAACTCTTTTTTTAGTGGAAAGAGGGTACTTTATTATTGGTTCCATTTAAATTTGAAGAAAATATTCCACCTCTGAAGGTGGTTTATTATTATATTTATAATTTTTAAATTTTATTTATTTTAGGCGATTTTTGCTGTCATTTTTAAATTGTTAAATACTACTATTAGTAAAGGTGATTTCAGTTTGTAAAATAGCGTTTTCTGCCAACAGCACGTGGTACTAATAACGGTGTTGGCCTTGCGCATCGCCATCCCCGAGATCCCGTCGTGGCTGGCCACCGAGATGGCCAAGGTGGAGTTCCAGAGGCGCGAGGCTATCAAGAGTGCGCACGCACCGCTTATGGTAAAAGCTCATTACTCTGTGCTCGGCGTTATACAAATCCACGGTGTCCAATACATTACCGTCATATCCAGGTGGTAGATAAGAATTAGCTTTATATCAAGTACCTTACCTGCTTTAATTTATTCTTATTCTGTAACCAGTCGGAATGTCCCAGCCAAGACGACATCCGTCCCTCAGCGAGAACCACACCGCGTACTATAACACCTACCACGCCTAAACAGTCTGATAAACAAGTCGATAGAAAGAAGATAACCGTTGGAAAGATACCTGAAATACCCCCTTTCAGGTTAGTGAACTTCCACGTTGTTATAACAGTTTTTAATTGTGAGAGGCTACTTATGAAGTAAATGCGAACATGCCTGACGCATTGACAAAGCGGTAAACCTTCAGCGGCGAGCTCGTATGACGCACGCGAATGTTGTTACCATTTATTCAAATTATCGTATTCACGGTTCAAAATGCCTAAATAAAGAAAATCGACCGTATCAATTCAAAATATATAGATTCTTTTGCGAGTAATGTTTATACTAAACGCAAACTAGTGTGATGTATGTATATGTACTTCATTTGACGTTTGTCATAGGGATAAGGTAAAGTATAGATATTTAGTGTATATGATTTTTGAAGCAAAATTTCTGTCTTATAGTTTTATTTTTCTGACGTATTCTGAACGATTTATAGATGTGTGAAATGTTTTGTATTATATTGTAGGCATAAAACACACAGCTATAATTAAAATGCAATTTCAAAAAATTTCAAATAATATTTGTCATATCATTATTTACAGGTTTCGAAAAAGTAATAACATTGACATGTTAATTAATTGCCTATGATTTAAATTCGTACTTTAAAAATAAATACCCGCACTATTTTATTCATTAAATTATCGAAAAACTTTTTATCGATATACCACATCTCTAGCAAATGTATTGAAGTAACCTTTGCACGTCGTAGTAAATAAATAAATTTTTTAAAAGAAAAAAAATTATTATTCCGCTATTTCTCACGAATGAACATTGATTTGGCGTTATTTTTACCTTAATGTATTACTTAAACAAAGACTATTTATTTTATAAGTAGCTAGTTTATGAACGACGTAAACTAGTGCACGTCGTTACAAGGTTGTCTAAATTTTTATGAATTGTCAGTGATCATCCTAGATTACTTTTGGTATAGTGCAATATCAACCATTCACCTACCGGGACAGGATTGAATTCAACTTGCACGGAATGAAATTTTATTTTATAAGTTTGTTTCTATAGTTCCTTTCGAGCGCTATTTGTATACATATTTTTATGTTTGTGTGGCTAATTCTTGATGGGAAATATTTTACTGCACCTCAAAGTATAATTAACACACGAAATGTGCACTATATAACTACACACTATATAAATGACTACAATACAAATAATGCACTTGATTATCAAAACATGTACTACCAATATTATTATAAAATCTATCAAAACCATTACCTTTTTTACAAACTTCACAACAAAAATCTGACTGATAAGACAAAAACAGGTTTTGAAGTAAACATGTTCACGGCACGCCTGAAATACTGACTTGCACACTAAATTATGAGTGCGTTAACTTAATTCACCTGAATTAGTTCACGTAGGTGCATTAAGTATACTTTTAGTAAACTTAAATCACCTGGGTGCATTAGATAAACATAAAAGTAAACTGTATTCACCACAACATTCAAGGACGCCAGGATTCAACTCGTTACATGGTACAGATACGGTGATGAAAAATTTCGTGATGAAACCTGCATGTCGAAGATGGTTCACATTGAAGTCCCCAACCCGCATTGGACTAGCATGGCGAGCTTTGGCCTAAACCCTCGCATGAGAGGAGACTCTAATCAGCATTGGGCCGTACAAATCAGTTACAGTATGAAGAGTGTTCTGAGTAATGTTCCCGATCGTCATAGACACTCAAAAAAATTTGTAGAGCTCCTTGTGAAAGAGTTCGTTCAGGAAAGTACTGCCATCTTCTATTTCTATTTATTTATTTATTTATTATATGGACAACAAAACAGATAACAATCAAATTACATTGATACAAATTAAATATGATATAACAAAGTTCAGTACTAGATTTTAACCCTACTTATGTTGACACATCAATCTATAGTAACAAGAAAGAACTACTGTTAAATTTGTTGTTAATTCACTTATTTACTTAATACTAAAGCGACAAGGGAATGGGTGAAAATCTATACAAGTACAAGCTGCTTTACTACTCGTCTAAACACTCTGGATCCTGGATTAAAAATGTCCAAATCGATGTTTTTCATAGATATTTCGTTGTAAAGCCGACACATTCTTACAAGGGGGTTGTAAAACGAAGTATTATTTCTGTATGCCCGCAAGTAAAACGTCTTGTTGGGTATTTCTGTCGCCAAGCAGTAAGTAATGTCTTTGAAATTTAAGATATATTTTGTAAGTGTCTGTTTAAATTAACACAGTAATGCTGACATTACTTACTGCTTGGAGGCAGCCTTTTTTGTTGCAAAGTAGGTACCTCAGTCTCATTCGCATTTTGAAATTTGAAGACAATATTAAAACTAAACTAGGATTCGCTCTGGACCTTTTGGAGGGAAAAGTTTCGTTTTTATTTTGACTTTCAATTATTTTGTGAAATCTAGTTTAAAGTGGAATAGGATAGTGCTATTGTGCCTTAATCGAAGATTAAAACGCGAAATTATACGAATCTCGAACTAAAATACCCGTATCGGCCCGTTTTAAGTAATCCCGAGTCAATCCAAACACGCCTCCTCAAATTGCCTATCCTCTTTGTGGCGGCCATATTTACAGAAACATAATTAAACGAAGACATGGCTCAAAGGACTTGTATCCAAGCCAATATTATTAATTTAAAAAATAATCTAAACTAAGGGATGAATCAGGTTTCGTGCACTTTCCTTTAACCGTATTCAACAAAACTTGGCAAATAGGTGTAATTCCAATAAAAAAAAACCGATAAGTAAACTTTTGAAGTCGGTTTTTTTAAAGAAAAATGTTATAATTGTACAAACCTGTATAGCTCTTATATTTATTTCATACGAAGCCTCTCACAATGTTACCAAATTAAATGAAATAATATATAAATTTACGTGGAAAGCCGAATCGCCGAGCCATTATGGAATGGTAGATAGTGTGATGGTGCCTTTACATCTGTTCACACTGTAATTATCACACATGTGAACAGATACTTCGTTGGATAAACGTGTTGCTAGAAAACTTTATTAAGACCAAGCAGACTACGGATTTTTTGTTGTCACATACTCGCGTTAATTGTGACTGTATTCATATGAGGTATTACCCTGTAATAAGACGTAGTTTCGCTGTATTTGTTGCTTGAGTTGACTACTTCGGTGGCTCAACGGTGTGTACAGTAGACTCTAGATGACGAGGTCCCGGGTTCGATTCCCGGTAGGTAAAATTTGGGAAATGAACTTTTTTGAATTGATTCTGGTCTGGGCTTTCTGTTCTAGTAATTATAGTTCAGGAAATTCCCTAGTTTGAGACCCATCTTGTACATTTGTTGAGATTATTAGCCCCGGGTCTCAATTATTTTAAACGTAAGCCAGTATATTACATTTTGATGATGTTGTGTATCTTTTTACCGGTTAAAGGAGGACACCGGTGACAATAACTTGCAGTCATTACGAGTGAGTTTAGTTTACATTTTGTCACGTTAATTACCGATAGATTTTGTCTAGAGCGCCTATAGCACCCTTAGAGCTGCCACCCCCCGCCTCCAAAAGCGTTAATAGAACCAGGGCGACAGCTTTCGAACACGTCACACGATTCTCGTACAATATGACTTGCATTAAAATCACTGAAGTTTTTCATTTACACGACACTTAAAATCTATAATCGGTCATTAATATGAGATACAGCCATCAAGATAAAGCTTCTGAAGTTTTTTCGTTTACACGACACTTAAGATCATAATTGGTCACTTAATATGAGATCAAAATACAGCTTTTTTCACATTTTAAGCTAATGCATATGATACAGAATACAGATTGTGGAAAATTCACTTACACAAACACGATTCGTGAGCAGACGAAATTGAATCTGCGTAAAGATTGCTGCAGGTCATTTTCACATTAAAATATTATTATTCATACAAATTAACTTTAGTACATATTTAAACATGTAGATGGCTAAAATGGTTAAAATAAAAAATAAAAAGTATGTCATGTCGAAAATGTAAGGCATATCATACTAAATATGAAATATAAAACATAAAAAAAGAAATACAAAACTAATTTTAGGAATGTTCATTTAAATTCATTTACAATTACGTAAATTGGTGAAAACCATAAACTGTCGTTGAAAAATTGCTATTACATCATGGAGCATACTGTCATGTTACACATTTAATGGTTCTGAATAAATAAATAAATACTATGGTAGGTATTGTTACGTTCCACGCTATCGACAACAGAGACAGGCCGGTAAGTTCTTGATTTGTCTTGGCAATACGAGATCGCGTATTTATAATTGTGTATTTATTATCAGCCGGTATTACGAGATCGTAATACCGGCTGGATTATCATAATAAGTTATATTTTACATAAAACACACAGTAGTACTACATTTCATATTTGTTACAGTAGGACCCCGTGATAATACCGATCGACATTTCGCAGTTATGTATAATCGCATTATGTATCATACAAAATATAGTAAGAGTACGGAAAAAAAAACAAATGCCTTAAGCCTCGATTACTATCGGAACCGCTATCACCAAAACGCACACAAGCGAATTATAAACACTGCGAAATCTTGATAATGATTGGTCATAGTTTCTAATTTAAAAAGTTGCAACAAATTCTCGATTGTTAATATAATTTAAACTTTACCCAATCGCTATGTTGTTGAAAATTCAGTACCTTAATTGCAAGTTACGACGTTTTGATTTTATATTGAAATTTTATTCAACGTGCTGCCATATTGCGGCCAGTAGCTGGACTACGACGAACTATTAACATCTGAATAAATTCGCTAAATAGAAAATAGAAAAAAAGAACGATGGCGAAAGTTGACCCAAAATCAACGAAGTCACGTTCATTTATTTTGTTAGTATAATTACGTTTTAGTTTATGCCTAGTTATTAATATATTTTTGTATATTTTTAGAAGTCGGGAATAAAGAAATTGCAAAACAATATATTTTAAAATAAATGTAAGAACACAACGCAATTGATTCAGTTCGATCAAAGATTAGGTAACGTTCTTGTACGTGCTTTTCATTTTAAGCATGATTGAATGTTTACCTACCTAAAGTATTGGTTATATTGTACTACATGCATAAAACATTGAAGCTATTAATGCCTAATCAAATAATCAATTAAACAATAAAGACAAAGTAAAAAATATAACACAATGTGAGAATATTTGAACGTTAGATACGTAAGTTAGCAGAGAAACCTTTTGACAATAGGCCTCTTGCTAATGTCAATGTAACTTGAGATTGTGAACAGTGTGACCATTTGTGGCAGATTTTGCCATTTGGGTAGACTTAATTTTTATTCACTTTCATTGCGACAGAATATGTTACCGTTGTATTAAATGTGCCAGAGTTTGGCAGATTTAGGAAGAACTTGCTCTTCTTTATTATTTTTAGAAACAAACTGAAAACTTGTTTTTTCTGCTACTACCAACAAACATCTGAAACGAAATACAGGAAAATGTTATAAACATTACCTATATCAAGTTTATAACCCCAGCTTCTACAGGCTGAGTACTGTACTCAGTTAGCTTTTTTGATGCTTTAAAGTATTGATAGGTCTCTTTAATGCACGTCGACAAAAACATTGAGTCACAAAATACATGGGATGTCGCCATCCTTCTTTATTAAAATACTCCTTACCAATGATATAAAATACTACTACGGGTAACATTTTTGGTACGGCTATAATTTTTGCACTCCAAAACCGTACTATATGGCATTTTTCTGCAATATTAGAGAGTTTGCGCGAAAGAATGACACAACCATGCCATACGAAGCGAAAATGGCAGCCTGAGCTCAACTAGGTCTTTCGAGACCTAATGTTGGCACTCGTATAACGTCAGTTAACCACTTCTACTGTATTTATTGTTCTGTGGTAAGAACAGATACCGCATTGCGATAACCCGCACCTGTCTAATGGCGCTCATATGCGGGACGATTAGTTCGTCGCTTCAGACTGGTCGAAACGACCTTGAACGCCAGAAACTAGCAACAAACCGATTTAATTATCGTGACGATCGATCGAAACGAGGAATCGTCTTTATATGGGGGCCTTAAGAGAGTCTTTAGATAAGATAGAGAATTTCAAAATTCAGTAACACTACGAAAGACAATATTCTTCTAGAGCTGCCATTATCAGTCTATCTGCAGAGGGTAAAAATATTTAAAAAAGCAAAACGATTTTATACTTTTAGTAGCTACCATTTTTACGTTATTGACCTTGATGTGACGTATGTAATGGTTTCTCCCAATTCAAGCTTCACGTTTATCCAACTGCGTACATTTAGCGGCAGAACGATATCGGCCATAGATTTTAATTTTGTTCATTTTGTTTTCTTTTCAGTTAATTTGACACAAGTTATTGCCTGGATGGGTGTGTAGTTTAATGTGTGTGATTTAATTTTTTTGTTAACTTTTTATAATTATTAATATTAATTTTAACGAAGTATCAGAACCACAACAATGACATTTGCTTCAATGAATAACGACGAACATAAGTAAAACTATCCGTGTTCGTTCACTAAAGGTACAGCCAGCAGAAAAACCTGAACTCTACTCAATAATAATAGAATCTGTTTCCCTTACGTATACTTATGCTGTACAAATTCCATGTGTAAATAAATTTAGTACTGATTCTGGTACTTCATTGTATTATTAATAAGATAATATTTTATATGACAGTATTCTTCCGTCTTGTTCAATATTAATCAATGCTTAACAAATAATTAAAATACGTTATATATTTTACTTCACATGCTTTGTTTGCAATAAATTTTATAACCGTGAAATGTGTAGTTTGAATGATTTTTTCCTTTGAGCGTTCGAGCTTTGTCATAAGGTAATGTTATTTTTATTTTATTTCTACTTTTGTAATAAGAAGTACGTGCTAGTGTGTATCTACATTAGTTGTTTCTATTTGCACCAGGGTCCGAAATGATAATTATCATAATACACATATAATATAAATAAAAGTGTCAAATGTGAATCGAAATAAGTCTTAGACCAAATCGCCCCAAAATCTTTTTCTTCGTGTTTATTTAGTTTTTCTCACTGTTTGTCATTTTTAATAAAAAATTAAAGAGACAAAACTATGAACATCGCTATGCCTATTGACCAATACGCTAAATGAAATATCGGCTATATCGCACATGAAACAAATACTGTCATAACTCAAAGTTGTGGAATTGAGAAAACACGATTGGGAAGTTCCCAAAAAAATGGATATTGTTGCGATGATTGTTTTTATTTATACCAAAGGACGCACACGATGTTAGTTGCGGGTAGCCCAAACCGTGCAACCATGCGGGGAATGCTAACGATGCCGATTTTTGGACTGTATTTGGATAAATATTTATGGTTGATTGGAACAAATAAAAGTAGGTAAACTGGGAGTACACAATACCTTTTGTAACCAACCGCGTGGCCGTTCTGCTGGTGAGTTGAGTGTTCACTATTGTTCACTATAGTTTTCAGTTTAGTATGGTTTCACAATAAATTAACCTAAATTTATTAATTTCACTCACTAAGTTTTTGAACTTTCAAATCGTATTTTCTCAATTCTTTAACTTGAGTTACGGCAGTATTTGATTTTATGTGCGATAATTATCAAAGGAAACAAATATTTTGATAATTTCGAACCTTGATTTGCACACAAACACTTTTCAAGATTGGGCACGAATACCTGCGAGATGCAAAATGTTTAAATTGTTTATATTATTGAGGAACATATACCATCCATCCTAATCACTATTTGCCCGTGTTCGTGTTCGATCACATACACACCCATGTCTTGATCTCTATATACAAACTCCACCACAATTGAACCAAGTTCTTGTTCGACCACATTCACTTACTGTTACACACTCACGTACTTACTTTTTTGAACATTTCTTTTGAACTTTTGAATTTATAACGTTACAATTTTTCTTTTTTCACCTTTAACCAAATGTAGTTTCCTTGGCCTGCTGTGATAACGTTTCAATTATTTCTGTCCCAATTTTTAATCTATTCTCATTTGTCTTCTGAAAAGCAGATTATTTCGTTTTAATAAATGTTGTGAACCAGTTAACCCTTTTGTAACTTTAGTAGTTAAAATAACACAAGGCAAAAGAGAATATCGAAACCTATGCAAGATTAAAACTTAAAATCACTTTCTTTCTATGCTTCCTTTCTCTATATACCCGTGATAAAAAACTAATGTAAGTATGTAATTTAAGGAACATTTTCAGACCAAAAGCCGCGTCTATAGCTGAGCCGGTCACTACTGGGTCTCTACAGATGCTTCAGGACGTCAGTCCTACTAAATCTGCTTTGAGACGTAAGGTAAGCTACTTTACAATTAAATTACTTTACGACACGAAACTTTTGAATTTGAATCTTTCTCAGCTACATTTCCGCTTTCTATCCGATAAGTTTGTGAACAATCATGAGCCTATACCGCTCTGAGCTAGAACTCTCTAACGCGCAGCAGTATTTTCATCCATCGTGTGTCTCTAGGTGACGAGTTACGCGTTATGTGACGGGTTAAAAAACGACTTTGTGATTAGTAGTCGGAAATAAATAACAATTATCAGTTTAGTAGCAATAGAGCTCTTTGTGAAAGAGTTCATCCAGGGAATTACTGCTATCTTATTTATTTCTGTCGTCAGCAGAGTATTACTGCGTTCCGGTTGTGAATGGTTGAAGGTGCTGGTGAACGGGCACATGAGACTTGTCAACTTACGTCTCAGGATGACAGGCGCAGTGGCAGAGTCCCTCAAATCTTTGCCATTTAAAGCTCTGAGTGGCACTGCAACTGCTATGGATAGACCTGCCACTTAACACCAGGAGCACGACTTGTTCGTCCCGTCACTTGATATCATAAAGAAAAATCAATTATAAACGAACTAATTGAAATTTTGAAAACTCCCGATACGAGAACTCATTTACCGGTAAGCTAACAACTCGTCGAGGCAAATTTAATGAGCCCAAACACGACAGTTCTAATGTAAATCGTTGAGGAGTGGGTAGTTTACTGACTGTCCTGGTTGAAACATCAGCTCAAGTTTACCATATTATTTTAAAGTCATCAGATTTCCACAGTATATCGAATTTCAAGGCGATCGATCGGACAAGTGAAAGTAAAATAAATATTCATTGAATATCTTGAGATCCCTACACTAAATGGGTAAAAAGCTGTTCGCCAGACGTTGCTAAGGAATATATCGATTGAATTAATTAAAAAGACAAATCTTTCTTTTTATGTGAAGATCAGACCATCCGTTCGGCAGCTGCTATACCACGGATGACACACAGACGAAGACTAAAGCGTGAAACACGCCGAATGCGGGAGCGGGTTGACTCCCGGACTCCCGACTCACACCCGTTCTCTGTGTGTTTCACTCTTAAAACTTAGGACTCCCCTCTTTTTGCGTAGGGGTTGAAAACCAGATAAAATAAACATCATCTACATTTGCGCGTCATTTTAGTTAATGGCACATGACTGGTTGTATTATGCTCTCCAATTTCCTTTAACTGCATTGTGATGAAGGTGACGTTCACCGTACAAAAATCTTGAAGATGTGTAAAATCTCCGACCTACATTAGACCAGTGGTACGGTCTGTCGCCTATAGCCCTCTCTTTGTGGAGACACCTGTGTTCAGTAGTAGGTCCAATGAAGTACTTATAATACAAAAGCGGATTCTGTCTATAGTTTCGTATTAAATGTAGATGTTATATACACCCAGAGGTTAGAGCGGTTGGAGTCCAGCCACAACTAGAATTTTCTTAATTCGTTTGTAGTGAGAACGCCAATTATCTGAGCCTTTAAGGAGGCGTTTTGTCCAAAGGGTATCGTATACCGGTGATTCCGATGTAGACACCCTATTGCGCCACACGTAGGTGTCATGTGCAAATGACCCATTTAGATTTTAGATTACATTACAGATATGTTAAGTCTTTAAGATATGTATCATATGGGTCATAGTTGCCTGAT